AAGCCCATCACAAACCCGAGCAGAGAAGCAGTCCTGATGTTACCCTCTTGGCCCTTCCAGCCTACCCTATACAAATTCTGCTGATTTGGCAAAGTATGCCCACTGGATTATCCTAGGACAATAAGCTTGCCCCATAGAACGAGTCTGGAGAACTTGAAAAAAAAAAAAACCCACCAGATTTTAGGAGAATATACAATTTTAGGGCTGTTTTCAGAGACCCAGCATTTAGCTACTGCGCAAGTCTCTCCTTTCCCCCACCTCCAGAAGAAGTAACCTGGGGATCTACACATTATTCCACATTACTGCCTCCAAAGCACACAGATTGGGAGCTAAACACACAAAGTGACAGAGAAATCTGAAGCATCTTCACAGATCTCTCGCCCTCCCATCAAAGCAGCTCTTGCTTTTTTAGAGAAATAACCCAGTCCTCTTACCAAACTCACAACCTTCATTCCCATGCCCTAATCTGACATGACTCAGCCCAGAAGAAGCTCGGAGGAGCTCCGGTGAAGTGTGCTGTCAGCCAGGACACCGGATCCCCTGCCTGTCACCACCGAGCCTTCCCAGCAGGGCGAGGTGGGTCAGCCTGGCTCATCCCCTCCCAAACAGGGGAAAGTGCGATACAATGGATTTCCTTACTTAATACTGTTGCCCTGGGGAACGGCGAGAGGGGGAAAAAAAAGAACTAAGAAACAAGGCTTTCAAGTTTTGGACTCTTTAATAAGGGTGGGGCCATCTAGTAATTAAGCTTTTAATAGGTCACTGCAGTGGAAGAAACTCTTCCAGTTGGGTAAGTTCCTAATCCATCATTAAAAAAAGACGACAGGCATTAATCAAAGCATATGAAGTCACATGGGGGGGGGAGCGAATGAGCAACTCCGAGAACTTGCTATTGCTGAGAGGATGGGGCAATCGTTCCTTCTTTCATCAACACTTCACGCATGTTTCCACATTTCTCAGGACAGCAGCAGGAAAGAGAGCCTTCTCGTCCTTCCCCACCCACCCCACCGATAAAGCTGTCGAACGCATATTACCAACCACTCAAGAGCCCATGTGAAATGAGTTGGTGGATTAATTAGCAGAAGGGCAGAGCTCTCAAGATGGAAAGATGCTCTACTGTGAAAGGCGTATTGATTGAAGGTCCCCAGCCACCACCACAAGGCTGTCATCATCCACTGCGAACATACAGCGCGCTGCCAGCTCCTGCCCGAGCAGCTAAATCTAGGTCACTTGGCTCAGCTCAGGGACACCTGGACCAGGCTCGCTCCTCCCTGATCAGAGAGCTGTTTGGGACCCCATTCCTTCAGTGAAACGTAGAGACTTATCCCTAGACAGACTGCAACAGGCACAGGGAGCGTATCTTCATCTGTTGGTACCGTGGTCCTCATCTGGGCAAACAAAAAGGAGGAGAAACTAAACGTGCCCACCCCAGGCTGCACACATTTGGTGACTGTAGTCACCAGGGTGGTTTTTTTGGTTTAGGGTTTGTTTTGGTTTTTTTTTTTTTGTTTTTTTTTTTTTTTTTTTAAAAGCCTGCATGTAATCCAATCTTTGACTACTACCCAGATCTACATTAAAACACAGCCTCTACTTCTACCCCAGAAAGCCACTATCACTACAGCGGAACACCTCAAGTGCTTGCTTTACTTTAGTTTGCGAGTAGCTCGCTTGTCTTCAGCTCTGCTGGAACAGCTCACTACATATGTTCAAACCTCATTTCAAAAGACCGCTTTTCGTAGTTGAAAGGGCAGCATCAAACGCTCCGGTTCCCTGCAGCTGCATTAGATAATTCTTTGTACCATACATATCAAAAGAGAACATCTTTTCATATCTCCTTCAAAGGACCCTCTCCAGAAGAGTCTGCAAAAGTCCAAGGGCAGAATTTTCTTGCTCCAAGGACTGGAAAGTAGAACTGACCGATGATTTCCTTACTTAAAGGGAAGTGAAAATAAATAGTGTGCATAGTGTAAGTGAAGAAACCCGGACATGAAAACATACATGAACTACAGCAGGGCATCAGTCCCAATGCAGGCAAGGGAAAGGAGCAATTGCAACCTCACTTATAAATCCTTTACCCTTTTATGCATAAACAAATGAAAAATTTGGTCTTGAGCAGACCTATCGCATTTTCACTCCATAAAACACAATTTCCTGAACAAAGTTATTCTTATGAATTTCAGACAAATTTTACTAGATAAGGCTTTTAAAATATATGAAGGATGCAAACCTATACTGATTTATTGTCACCTGGTATCTTTTTCCCCTGTGGAGCACATGGGCTCCACTGCTCTGCTGGCAACAGTGCCTGGGAGATTTCTTTGTTAGTTGCAATTCCTTCTAGATTGTATTTAAATTTGAGATCGAAATAGTTCCTTAGACTAGAAAAGAAAAAGCCCCACACTATATTATTGCTCTTAGCTTTTGGTAAAAAGTGTACCTTTTTTGGTAAAAAATGTACCTTTTTTTTTTTAAAAAAAAAAGTTTGTTTGTTTGTTTTTTTTAAAATCAAGTCCCTGCTTTTATTCAGGTAGTGTGAAGCAGGGCATTATTTACCACACTTACTCCAAGTGCCTGAAGAAGAGGAAGGCAAATATTGAATGTATTTAAGACAGTAATAGCCTCCACTGCAAACATCTCTTTCTAGAGCCCTAAACCACAACAGGATGTACAGCTCCAACAGTACTGTGTCTGCAAAGTTTCTACAGCTTGAACAATCGAGACAGCGCCACCAAAAAAATCAAGAGCCGGCCTTCAAGCTCCACACATATTTTTTTTGTAAGAAAGGGCCTATTCTGACAGCAAAAGTAGAGTGTTAAGTTAAAAAAAACACAACAAAACCCAAACACCCACACACACACCCCCAACAGAAAACCAAACACACCCAATAGATACAAACAACCCAAATACTGCAGGGCTGACCCAAGCTGATGACATTGGAGTTCCCACACCATCTGCAAGAGGGGAAAGACATGGAAAAAAGAGAAAGCACCATGCTCTGGGGGTCGGAGCAGGGAACACCGCCTCCATCCTGCCAGCACAGCCCCACACACCAAACCTCACACAAACCCATGGATGCAGAAGAAAGCAAAGGGAAGCACTGAAGCTGTGCTATGCCCACCCCATGGTTTACTCCAGCACACGTGCTAGACCCAAAGGGAGAGCCACTGTTTCATCACATACAGTCTTTAGGCGACTATCTTTATGCAAGGTGTTTTATTCACCTGGGATTTAGTGATATTATTGAGGGTTAAATTTCCACCACACCCTCCTAGAGCGGCCAAGATAAATCTCTCCCTTCTGCATGACATGTCATGTACAGAAGAGGACACAGGTCACTGTTCTTGCACAAGCCTGGATACGAATCATATGAATAATGTCACTACTGGCATCAGGACCACAGCCGGAGGAGGAGGAAAGCGATGCTGCGACCTTACCGTCCATGTTGCTGACTTTGCCGTGCTGGACTGTTGAAATGATACATCGAAGCTGTGAGGTCCTGGGTAGTCTGTGTTGGAAGGGATGGCTGGGGAAGGTGAGAGGGCATCAAAAGTCGAGCTGGGCTGGGCGTAAGGCGAGGGGGCCGTGACGCTGTTCTGCGCGTGCTCCGTGTTGTAGGGGCTGGTGGAGGAAGAGCCATTCTGGATCTGCTGGTCCATGCTGTTCAGGAGCCCCAGGTTTGTGTACTGCGGCTAGAGGCAAAGAGATGCACAGAAGTGTTACAGAAGCAATGTTAGCACAGGCTGGCTAGCCACGGCATGGTCTTCACGATGGAGGATGCACAGCATGATCTCAGCACCATCAAACATGTGTCACACCAAGAGGAAGGAGATTTGCAAAGGATAGACCCCATTTTACATCAGTGACCGAAACAGAAAGAAGCAAAAAGTTCTCACAGCCACAAAGGAGATCAACAGCTGAGCTGGGAAAAGAGCTTGCACAGAACAAGGAGGTGATTCGCAGGGCAACAATCATCACAAGAAGAAAGGCTCCTTATGTCTAGCAACACCCAGACTGAGACCCTTTTGAAGAGACTGCCATAACCTGATAAAAATCACCAGCTTCATTACAGTGCAACCGGCTCCAGCTTGTACAAGGCTAGATCGTCCCTGACGGTCTCACTGCTCCTCTTCTCGTGGATCCGATCCTGCTATGCACGGTGACATTTGGGACCTCTAGCTCAGGTAGTAACTGCACTGAAGTGTGACTCACTGGAGAAGATTCATAGCACTTAACCAGGTTGCACCATGCACTCAATTCCCAGTGACTGTCACAGACAGTAGTAGAGAGGAATTAAAGGTCTCATCAAGAAGCATGGTCGCTCACAGCATGGGAGGCTTTCCCAAATACTAAAGCAGCAGCAGCTGCACAGTGTGCAGCGCTTAAATGAGCGGATGTGATTGTGCCCCAACAGCAGCTTCCAGGTACAAATGACATGAAAAAAATTGAAGAAATAAAAATGAAGGCTAGAGAATGGAGTACAGAAAAGCAAAGGTTAGATCAGGGAGAGGTTAGCAGAAAAATCACATGCCTAATGCCCTAAATTCTATGTGCAGCACTGGTCCCCCAACTCAAACAGACGAAAGGGGAACAAATTTTAGAGCAAGGTGACAAGAATGAGCAAACTCTTTCAATGCCTTCCTGTAATGCAGCAGCAGATGACAACTTTTCAGCCTGCAAAAGAGACAATGACCAGAGAGGTAGACCGCAGTATGACAGAAATGGATAATCACCTAAACAACATGGAAAAAAAGCAAGTAGGAAGTGAATTTTTATGCTCTCTTAATAGAAGAGTTAGAGGACAAGAAAACATTTTGAGCAGGATTTTGGTTTAAAAACACACAGAGTAGTTCTTCACAAAGCTCACAAATAAACATGGATTTTTTGCCACAAAATGCTGCAGATACCAAAAGCATACTTTTGTTCAAAAAGGCATCAGACAGTTTCTGCTGGAGAAGGCAGCATATCTGATTTTAAAACTCTGAACCACAAACAGTTGGAAGCTGGGAAAGTACTCCGCGGAGAGAGAGTTACACAACTACCCCAGTCTTTTATTCCTCCAAGGGACCCAGCGCTGACCACAGAGACAGGGCCAGATCATCGGTCCACGGGGTTCAGCCAGGTACAGTAGTTTCATCTTTGTGTGTGTCCAAAGGGCATTGTTTGTGCCCAGCTTAAGGAGAGCAGCACCCAGAAGGTGTGTGGTACCCGTCCCCAACAGCTCTGGGGTCACCCAGGAACACACAGCGATACACACACCCGGTTCTGCAGCTGACGTGGCAGAAGGGACCCAGGCTCTCCCCCTTATTCAAGGGGTCCAAGCACCTACATCGTCAATCCCATCCAGAGCCATCAAGCTCATGTATCTCTCTACTTCAGCCAGTCTGCTCCAGATGTCTCTCTTCTTTCCAACAGTTGTTCCTTTATTCTAGACACAACTCTCTATTACCAGCCAAGTGCAAAGGTTCCTTGAGTCAAAGCACCAACAGCAAGATCCATAAACAAAGCTTTCCCAATACTGGGAATCCCAGCAGCCCTAACGCAGCTTCAAGCACATTATCACTCTTTCAAGGACCTGAAAGGGAATGGCACAAGCTACCTGCCAAGCTTCCCAGGGACCTTGGACAAGCCACTTAACACCCAGTTTCTCCAGTGATTTTAGCTACGGAAGAAAACAGGTTGGTCCCTTTGGAAGGATGAAGTACCCTCCCTACACCCAAACACTTTGCGCTCTCAGCTGTCCTTCCAGACGAGGAGGAAGTAGAGAAATTTGAACCACCAAATAGAGCTCTTCCTTAGGTTTCTGTCTCTGTTTCACTGGAAGAGGCTGATATTTTATGGGGTTTTAATTAAAAGCCCAAGGTGAGCCTGGTGCTGTTGGGTCTTCAGCAAGACACAGCAGACCTTCCAGAGATGGATCAGCTTGCTAACACGAACCGTAGCGGGGAAAGAGAAGGTCTGGTGGGGAATGGCACAGAGAACTTCATTTTGGGAGCTGGGATGATCTGCAGAGAGAAAGGAGAGCTGGTTCCCTCCTTTGCTCTGCCAGAGACATGCTGTGTCCTTGGGCAAGCCACCTCGCCTCCCCCTCCACCCTCAGCCTACTTCAGGCAGCAAAGTCTGCAGGGCAGGGATTGCTCCTCGCTATGTAAAAAGCGCTCTGCTTAATGGGCCTCTGTTTTGTCTGAGGCCTTCAGGCAGCAGAGTAATAAAAGCAATTACATATTGAGTCTTAATCCTGGGTGAACCAGTGACTCTCTGTGTTGCCTCAGGTTAGTCATTTGCCCTCCCTGCCTCAGTTTCCCCATCAGGGATGTCATAGATGCTCAGCACCCCTGTTAGATGGGCAAGGAAGTATCTGTGATTGGATTCAAAGCATGCTAAATAGCTGACGCAGGAGAAAGCGATCCAGACTGGTTCTCCTTCTCCCAAAAGAGATTGTAGCTTTGGCAATGCAGATGACAGTTATGTCTCATCTCCTGCGGGCTATTCAGCCAACCAAGACCTACTTAACGGACGTTTGGTACATGTTTTCCCTTGAAGCTAATTCTGTATGGTAAGAGCCAGAATGCTGGCATACTGCACCAGGAACAGTCTTTTTCCTGCTCAATAATTTTGTATTTAATAAAAAAAAAAAAAAAAAAAAAAAAACAAAACACAAATCTCCCTGCCCTTCTGCCCCAGAATACCCTAACAAGACCTGAAGACTTCTCAAAACCATAGAATTATCACTCAGTTGTTACATTTCTCATGGAGATTAGCATCAGACACACTCCCTAACCAGCAGAATGATGAAAAGATGGCTGTGACGAAAACAGTCTCCTAAACCAGCTCAGACATACAGACAGCAAAACAATGGTGTTTCAGCTTTCACTTAGAAAGTATTCCCTCTAATCCCAGGCTGTTTAAGATGATGGAGAAAGATGACCAAAAGGGCAGTCAGTGTTAACAAGACAGCACAGTCTGGAAATGCTAAAGGTGCTGCCTGGAAGTCAATGAAAAATAATAATAAAAAAAAATAAGTGGGCCATTAAAATTTAAGATATCCTTAAGAGAATCAAAGATCCTTTTCATTCCTTTCGGTCCAGGGACCATCTGTCTAAATGTTACCAGCAGAGCAGCCATTCCACTGCATTTATACACTCACATGCCACAGCCGAATGCCATGTCCCCATTTGCTCTTTAAATAACTATTAATCTCCTCGCACTTATCCCCGTGCTGACACAAGCAGCTGTTGGACTCCCCTTCTCCCCCTCCGAGTCCCACCAGCCTTTCACCTTCCCTGGCCCCTTGCTCCCCTCCCTAGGCAGGTGCTCCATCCCCGTGACAAAGCCAGACAGGGGGTTTGTGAGCACACACACACACACCACACACACACACACACACACACACTAAACCTTGTCTGGCAGCTATGCCCCAAGGCAGGCGGAGAGTTGTTTGCGCTCAAGGGGTCAACATCTGAATTGCTTGCAAGGCTTTTGGAGGAATCAGATAAGGCTTTGGAGGCACACGCCTTCTGACAACACAACAATTAGAGGGGCAGCAGGCCCGGGGAAGGCGTGTGCAGGAATTCACCCGCCGATGCAATAAAACCCCTTCGCCCCAGCCACGCTGGGGATGGCGAGAACAAAGAGAGCGAGGGGGGCTGCGGGCATGTCTGCAAGGCATCGCCCTCCAGGAGGGGTCCACAGGGAGTGTGTTTGCACACACACACAGCCTCCTCTCACCATCTACAGAGAGAAAAACAACGGCGTTCAATTCAGAAATTCATTCTTGTCAGGTTGGCAGCCCAGAATTTAGCACATGCTCGTGTTTTGCTGCGGGGTTGTTTTAAACAACTGCAGGATGTAGTGCCACCACCAATTCCTGGCAGGAGGAGAATGCTATTTGTTGGAAAGAAGAGAAATGCACGCAAAGCTGAAAGAATGGATTATTTAATTTTCGGTGCCTTTGTTCTCTATTTTGTTCCCTCCATCAAATTTCTGAAACTATTAATATCACTGAGGCATTAAAAAACCTTCAGGCAAATTTAACAGCAAATAATTAGAGAGCTACAATTAGATCTTAGACTATGTATTTTGGAACATCGTTTCAATAACGTATCTTGAAATATTGGTTTCACTTCCTACATCCCATCAGCTTCACTTTCAGGTTTTCACACTAACTCACACTTCTAGGTTAGGAGAACCACCGTTTCACTGGAGAGGCTGCTGAACTAAAAAACAGACTGACAACTGCCAAATTGTTTAATTACAGTTCTGCTGTCGGGAGGACAGATCTCCCTAACGAACGCCGTGGACAAGGTAAGGCAGAAAGCCTGCTGACCCCAGCAGCTCCAGGCCACTTGCCACAAGAGGGCAATGCAAATGCTCCACCACGCACGGCAGAGCTGATTCACCAGGGAAGATTCCCCAACCCACCCAAACTGGGGCCCTTCTCACCCTGCTCTGCAGCAAGAACCCACCCCAGTTCTTTGGCCACAGCCCGCTTTTAAGCCCATCGTGTTAATTGATAAGGTTATGAGATGGATCTGCAAAGAGACCCCCAGTATGAAGGCACAAGGGAAGTAACGCAAGTGAAGAAGAGTTCTCAAGGGGACTTCCATGCCAAAAATCCCCTAAAATACACAGCTCCAGCTGTTAATTACCCAGTTATCAACCTTTCAGAGAAAGCTTTGAGAGTTTCTTCACT